GACACACACAGCCCTAGTTGAGGAATGGAGCTGAGAGACACAGAAACACACCGAGGCCCACTGAGGGGGAACAGGCCTGAGAGATGCAGACACACCCAGTTCCAGTGAGAGGAAGGGGATAGAGATACACATGCACATGTCCCGCCCCCAGAGGGGAAGACACTAAGACTACATTTACACTGTTGGGTTTTTGTGCAAGAAGTCTTTTGCGGAAGAGATCTTGCGCAAAAGCGCGTCCAGACCTCAAAATGCATGACAAAAGCGATGTGCTTATGTGCAAGAGAGCGTCCACACTGCATTCCCTGATGGGTAATAAGTTTTGACTTCTGGCTGAAGTTATTCCTACAGTCAGACAGGATGAAGGGTTTCTCGCCGGTGTGAATTCTCTGCTGTAAAATGGGGACCTGTGTACACTGGACACTTTTCCCACACTCACTGCAAGTGTAGTGTCCCGCTTGAAGGGGGATGCTCTGTTGAATGGTTTCTTTTTTCTCTTCACCCCTCTGCTCCTGTGACTGGATTTACCCTGTCCCTTATAGGGACTATACTGACTCTCAGACGTCTCTCTCTGCTCAGGACATTGGGGTACGTCTACACTGCAGGCTTCTTGCACAAGAACGTTTTCTGAAAGAGATCTTCCTCAAAAAGTTCTTGCACAAGAGCACGTCCACACTGCCATGTGCTTTTGTGCAAGAGAGAATGGCCATCAGAGCACCTGTGCTTTTTCCGATAGGGGTTTTCTTGCACAATAAACCCCTTTTGTGTGTCCACACTCCTTGCACACTCCTTTTTGTGCAAGAGCTCTTGTGCAAAAAGGCTTATTCCTCATACAAAGAGGAAGAACTCCTGCGCAAAAAGCCCTGTCTTCTGACTATCTACTGTTCTTTTTCTTATGCAAAAACACGCGTTTAGTGTGGATGCTCTGTGAGTTTTTGCACAAAAAAGGCTGTTTTTCCACAAAAACTCTGCAGCATAGATGTAGCCTGGGAAACAAACCCTTCAGTTCTTCCCAATAACATCCTACATGGAGCCACTTGCTCTGTTCCTCCCTGCTGAAGGCTCTCCTCACTGTTAACCCTCAACCTTCTCTGTGGGTGTCACTGGAGTCGACATACCTTAATTTGGTATTTCATGATTTCACAACAGGAGGTGGATTGGAGCAAATGCTCCCATCGACTTCCCTTACTCCTCACAAATCAATGGGTGAGAACTCTTCATTTGATTTAGTGGGTCTGTCCTAGTCCTGCTAAGTCAAATGCCAGACTATTGACCACTGCAGCATCAATATTCTCACTAGTCTAGACATGGCCTGATTTTTTCATTCTCCTCAAGAGAACAGAGGGTGTCAGACCAGGGGTGGGACAGTTAGACTCCATCCCGGGAAGTCTAATCTGTAAGAACAGAAGAACAGCCAGACTGGGTGAGAGCAAAGGCGATCTAGCCCAGTATCCTGTCTGCCAACTGTGGCCAATGCCAGATGCCCCAGAGGGAGTCAATACAACAGGTTCTATGTATTCTCTGCACTACCATGTTTGGACCAAGGACTTAAACTCAGCTCTCCCACATCCCGTGGGCATGCCCTGAGCTCCAGGGAAATGGCTCCTCTGGGGGACTTGCTAGATGTTCTGAGGGTACAGACACACAAAACCACATGCAACACAACCATGGGCCATGTGTGCGCACACACACATTCACACACTCCTGACCTTCAAGGACCCATTCAGGAGGCATGGGCTGAGAACTCCTAACGGATCCGGCCTGCTCAGGAGCTGGGCAGGGGACCACCTCATTGGAGAATCCCACCTGCACTCGGGCTTGAGCAAAGACTGTGGAGCAGCATCAGCACACAGGCTGCTCTGGCAGAACTGCGGGCTCCTGCCGGGTTGGCGGCCGATGAGGGGTTCTGAGCAAGTCAGTGGTGCCTAAGTTCACAATTTACCTCCGGGCCATTGTCGATGTATTTCCGTGGATGCATTTCCAGAAGAGGAGCTACACATAAGTCAAGGCTGTCCCAAGACACGGGGTCTGGCCACGCTGGGAGGAGCCCGTCAAGTTTACAAATGCCCACCTCTCACTTGAAAATTTAAAAAAACCCAAACCCAAACCCTTTCCTCCTTTCCTCGCACAAGGAGCAGGCTCCCTCTAGCACAAGAGGTTAGTTTCTGCTCTTTCCATCTTCAGGCAGCTTTTCGGTCCCAGCTACTCGCCCTGCAGGAACCTGGGCACTGGCCCTTCCTCCTGTGACTAGCAGCTGTAGCACGATTGTGGGATGGGACGGTGGTTAGATGCTGTGTGATTGAACGTGACCAGTTGTATCATTGTGGCCACCACTCTTACCGAATTGCAGCAAAGCTCGTACAAAGAAAGTGCAGTTGGGAGTCCATGGGAAAGTCACACTTGGCTGAGTGTGATTCCCCGTCTATGTGCACGGATAAGGGTTCTGCCTGAAGTTACGAATATTGGCCGTGTGCTGGTGTCAGAGGAGCAGAGCTGGTTTGTGGCCAGAGCAAAGGTGCTGGCATGGGGGTGAGGGCCACCAGTCTCTATTCCCCATTGTGGGGTGGCCCTGGATAAGCCCCGTTTCCTCTGCATGGCTCAGTTCCTCCACGGCCTGGGGATAGCGCTGCCCAGCAGCCTCGCTAAGGAACTTCCCTATAGAGTGATCCCAAGTGTCACGCAGCATGTGCCTTAGACTCGTCAGCAGGGATTTCAAATCCCGGGCTTCATTAGCAAGTGCGGTATGCATACATTACCCCGCTAGTTCGAACTAGCGGGGTAGTGTAGACATACCCTTACTGAATTGCAGCAAAGCTCGTACAAAGAAAGTGCAGTTGGGAGTCCATGGGAAAGTCACACTTGGCTGAGTGTGATTCCCCGTCTATGTGCACGGATAAGGGTTCTGCCTGAAGTTACGAATATTGGCCGTGTGCTGGTGTCAGAGGAGCAGAGCTGGTTTGTGGCCAGAGCAAAGGTGCTGGCATGGGGGTGAGGGCCACCAGTCTCTATTCCCCATTCTGGGGTGGCCCTGGATAAGCCCCGTTTCCTCTGCATGGCTCAGTTCCTCCACGGCCTGGGGATAGCGCTGCCCAGCAGCCTCGCTAAGGAACTTCCCTATAGAGTGATCCCAAGTGTCACGCAGCATGTGCCTTAGACTCGTCAGCAGTGTTCAGCTTCAGCCGCTGGGTGAGGGGTGCCCTGTAGTGCCAGGCGCATTGTCCTGTGTAGAGCCATGTGCATAGCCAGCTAAGGGAAGCAGCGTGATTTGCCTCCTTCCCTCTGAGCTACCAAAACCACCCGGCCTCTGCCCAGAATCCCCCCTTCCCAGCTAAGCAGGAGTGTGTCCTGCTGCCTCTCTCAGCTCTTGTCCTCCTGGCTTCAAAGCTGATCCCTTACCCTGCTCCAGAGGCCTGTCTCAGGGCAAAGTGCTCCCAACCCTGCCTGCCACAGGCCCCCAGTCAGGAGAACAAAAGGGAACTGAAGGCTAAAGAAATACGTCTCTGCCCTCGGCTGCTCCCAACTCTCAGGCTATGTCTACACTGCAGAGTTTATCTGGGATACTAGAGGAATCCCGGAAAAACTCTGCCGTGTCCAAGGAACGTGTCTGCTCTTCCAAAACAATTTTCAGAACAGCAGACGCATTTTTCAGCATCCCTGTAAATCTCATTTCACAAGGAAGAAGGGATGTGTGAAAAAAGGGGGTTTTCTGACATTTGGCCCCGTATAGATGGGCCAAATGTCGGAAAAGCCTCTTCTGAGAAAAGAAGCGGAAAAAGATACTCCAATTGGGATCGCAATGGGCATACCTTTTTCCAGAAGAACACTACAGTCTAGACACAGCCTCAGCTGCTTCCTGGATTCCCTCTCTGTTCCCAGTTGGGACCTGTGCCCCCAGTGCTGTGTCCTCGCTGCCTTAACTGCAGATGACTTGTCTGGCTGCAGAAGCTCCCGTCCCAACTCTGGAGCTGAGGGAGCCCAGCTGTGAGGAAGGGAGGTAGAAACTGTGACACCCTGGCACCCCCGTATTCCCACTGCCATACAATTAAAAATATTTTATACAGAGGATGCCTTGTGTGATATCATTCTGAACTTCATAATCTGTTGAACAGTTATAGTCTTATAAGTCTCATGTGCAAACATTTACAACACAGAAAGGTCATAAGGAACAGTCAAGATCAAATCGTGTTAAAACAACCTGATGGCTTTCTTTGACAAACTAACAAGCCTTGTGGATAGTCGTGGTAGATCGTAGATAGATGTGGTCGATCTTGACTTGAGTAAGTACATTAGGATTAGACTGAGGTTTTGTTATATTTCTTATGATAGCCTACTTTTTGCTATCTGTTAGCACTCACCTACAAACACTTAAAACTCTTTCTCAAGCTAATAAATCTCTCAAATTTTACATAACAAATTGTGTGCTAGTTAAAGATTAAAGGGTTTCTGTGAGTTTTGATTTCTGGTGCCTGACTTGTGTCCATTTATCCATTGTTGTGGAGAGGGGCATTGCTGGCACTTGATGGCATATGCCACATTAAAGAACGTGGAGGTGGATAAATTCCTGATGTTCTGGCTTATGTGGTTAGGTCCTGTGATGGTGCCCCTTGTATAGATATTAATAAGTTACACACAAACCCTTCACTCTGAAAGTCACACTCAGAAACCATGGTAAGGACAAGAAAGGATTTATTCTCTCTTTGACTGGCCATTCAGTGATTCAGGCAGAGACAAGAACCATGCCACCTGGCAGCATTACATGGGACTTAGACTGAGAGCCAGAGCCAAAGGAGACAAGTTTAGTCCCTTTCTCGGGACTTAGACTGAGAGCCAGAGCCGAAGGAGACAAGTTTAGTCCCTTTCTGAGGAAACAGCCAGAGCAGCCTGGCCCGGATCTGTTGGGTCCTCACCCCATAGATGATGGGGTTCAGCATGGGGGGCAAGAGGAGGTACAAATTGTCAATGAGAACATGGAAATGAAGAGGCAAATTATGGGCAAACCGAGTTGTCAGGGAGGAGAAGAGGTTAAGATGGGGATGTAAAAGGTTAAGATGGCGCAGAGGTGGGCACTACAAGTCCCAAAAGACTTGAGCCGAGCGTCCTTTGTGGGGAGTCTGAATATGGCCCTGAGGATCTGGGTGTAGGACACAGAGATAAAAATCAAATCAAGACTAATCCTAGAGATTAGCGCAAAGAGCCCATAGTAGCTACTGATGCGGATGTTGGCACAGGCCAGTTTCACCACAGGCATGTGCTCACAGTGCGTGTGGGGGATGATGTTAGTTCTGCAATATGGCCACTGACAGGCCAGGAGGGATCAGGGCAGTGCAAGCATGGAACTGCGCAGCACCACAGCCGAGGCAATCTTGGCTACAACAGGGTTTGTCAGGATGGTGGAATGTCTCAGGGGATGGCAAATGGCCATGTAGCGATCCAACGCCATGGCTGCAAAGATCCCAGACTCAATTGTGGAGTACAGCTGGGTGAGGCAGGCACTGAAATCGATCTCCCTGGAATTGAACCAGAAGATGCTCAGCTATTTGGCCATAGTAGATTTACACAGGACCAGGTCGGTGATGGCCAGCATGCAGAGGAAATAGTACATGGGCTCGTGGAGGCTCGGCTCCCTCTTCACAATGAACAGGATGGTGAAATTCCCCAAGAGGGCTATTGTATACATGATGCAGAAGGGGATGGAGATCCAGACATGGGCAGCCTCCCAGCCAGGGATGCCCAGCAGGATGAAGGTGGAAGGGATGGTAAAGTGGGTGGTGTTGGAGTCCGACATGGAGTAGAGGAGAAGGCGTCCAACGCTGAAGCTGAATGGGGAGAATGCGTTCAAGTCTGAGACAGAAGAGTGTCTCTTGAATGTACCCTACGTTCCTGAGACTTTCCGTGTGTGCCCAGGGTTTATAATGATGGTCGCAGTATAATTGCCTCGAGGGACAGAAAATGATAATATGAGACATGACGTGCCCTGCTTGAGGCTGTTGTCATGGGCAAAGCAGATTGCTCGCTCTTCACACTCTGAAAAAAATTCTTTTTCAGTGAAAGGAATTATGAACAATGAATCCTCCGAATACCAGTGGTGTGTCTGGGTCAGTAATGTCCATACATGATTTTGTGAGAAAGCTTAATAGGCACCAGCGTGATATATACCCCAGGGAAAGGCCTGGCCCTCGCTGAGAGCAACACCAGGGGGTCACTTCCTCTTTGCAGCTCTGGCCCAAGCTCAGACCATGGTTGGACACATACAGAATGAAATGGAGAATAAACTGCTTTGGCCATGCAGCTCGGTTTGATCACCCGGTCGCTATACAGGTTATAGCTGAGATAAAGTTATATCAGATAATGTTGTAGTATCCTCTCGCACTGAGGCTACCTCTCCAGGGGAAGGAACTCC